GGGGGGGGGGGGGGGGGGGGGGGGGGTAACGTGGGAAATTGCCATCCATTACCTGTACATTCGACTCCATCTCCTGTTAACCCATCTGGGCAAGGACCACAAACGAAGCCTGACTCGTTAGCAGGTGGCTTTAAATCGATGCACTGGACCCCCGGATAGCATGGTTGGAAATTTTCCTCGCATGCATCTAGGTCCGCCTCGCAAAATGTGCCGGTATAACCATATTGACACACACACGAAAGTACATTGAACCTTGCACCACTGTTATCTGCGTAATTTTCATCTATAGGTACACACGTTCCTTGATTGTGACAAGCGCAAACGTTTATTACTGGTCGCAGTACGGTAGCTTGCTTGGAATCATCAGCTACCACAAACTCTATGTCAATCTGTAAAAAATAAGAAAAAAAACGACATTTCAAAAGATTCCAGCTCTAAAAATTATTCTTAACCTATAACTTGAATCTTGGGTATACAGCTACATGTGCATGGTTACTCCCCCGCTGATGACCGTCTATTAAATTTTAGGAATCACATAAATAAACCATTTGACAGCGCCAATAAGAGTTATTGAATATGGGATTTCCATCGACGTTTATGTTATTGGTCACGCGATGTATTTTTTTTTTATCAACGCATAGCTCTTATTAAATAAGTTAGGGAGATGAAATGAAACATGCCGGCGAAGGGGAGTTGAAGAGAGTAAAACGTCGCACCCAAAATAGGACCCACGTATTAACTAACGGCAGAACGCGTACGATCTAAAATGGAGCAATAAACGCAGGCACTACTGTCGTGTATTGCCCAATCATCATCATCATCATCATCATCATCATCATCATCATCATTACTGTCATAAAAAGAAAAAAATCTTTAACATTGCGATGATGAACGTTTGTAGCCTTTTTACTACCACTTCAGTTTTGAGTAGTTACCTCTTCGGTGGTTACGTTCCAAGTCAGCGTCACGGACGATACATTAGTTGCTAATTTGGCACCTTTCGGTGGACTTCCGGAGACATTGAAGGTCATGGGATCACCGTTGGGATCTTCTGCAGTGACAGTTATGCTGACCGTTGTGTTGACAGTCAAATTAAGTTCGGAAGGCCCAGAGAGAATCTTGGGTGGGAAATTATCTAAAAGAGCAAAAAGTGTAGGAATACACGCAATGGTGCCATACTTCAGTTTTGTAAATATTTTCTGAAAGGACTACCGGGTTGCTTTTATAACACGGGATACTCTCTCTCACCCTGAACTCCCCCCCCTCCCCCTTCTTTTTTTTTTTCCTCGTCGCTTGCCACGGCTATGCTCCTCTATCGATTTTATTACACTTTTTCATCGTGGCAATGCAATATACATTTATTGAAGCACGTCATAATATCTAAACTCTAAAATTATTTGAAATTTCACAAAAGGTCTTATCCAATCAAAGAATGAGCATTGTTAAGATGTTAAGATTTTGGGAAATTTTTTAATAACTTGGAAAAAATGGCTTACGTGTATATGTTTTAGAGGGTCTGGTTGGGTTTGCTGGAATCTCACTTATATCAGCTAAAATTTCGGCTTTTTCTCTGTTATCANAAAAATGGCTTACGTGTATATGTTTTAGAGGGTCTGGTTGGGTTTGCTGGAATCTCACTTATATCAGCTAAAATTTCGGCTTTTTCTCTGTTATCAGACCGTTTCAGCCCATCCTTCAGCAATTAGTAAAATTTACAAATTCAGTTCTCAATCATAACCTAAAAATCGGCAGATTCCTCAGTTGACGCGGGTAAAATTCAGTTGTCAGCTAAGCCCCATTCATATCTTCGTTTCAAGATATAGTTTTAACTTACGTAATTCTTCCGATTCACTTTCCAGCTGCACAGATATTTGTTTGGTACTCTCTCCAACTGCCGTGTCTCCTGTAGAGGCTATGTCGAACAAGCAGTTGACATCTCCTTGGCAAATAGCCTCTGCTTGCTGCCTTAAAGCGTCATTTGCAAAAGTGATATTTTCATCCAGGAAAATTGGCTCGAATGACTCATTCTTGAATGTGTTAACATCTTCTCCAGGATTGTAAGTGAATAGGGATGTGTTAAACATAACTTGCCCTGAAAAGGGAAACCATTCCACTTAGGTATAAGTCAACATCTTTTATTGAAATAAATAAAAGGGAGATTTGTTTTCTGATTAGCAGTTTGTAGTTTGTACATTTAAACGAGTTCACCGAGTTCACATATTTTACAAACATGAACACAATATGATTTACAATCACGCATATTAATCACCCATAATGGTGGAAAAATACAAAATTTCCTGTTAATTTGGCATCCGCGGTGAATCTGCCTTTGTAGCCTTACATGTAAGTAATATTATTTTGCTGCATTGTGTATGTACTGTGACAAAAAAGGAAAACAAAAAGAACGGAAGCCGTATAATTGAAAAACTGTGAAATGCCCCTAATGAACAGATTTGTTCAAAAACTAGAGGACGTTAAAAAAGAACTACATCCTGTATTTGGATGAGAGATTAACCCTTTAAAGCATATTTCTGAAAAAGCCAATTTGTAGTTATTAATTTTGGAGTACTACATTTTCCTTCTGGGACACCAAACTATACTCAGTCAAATAACTCTACTTACATTTCTGTCCAAAATAATTGTGAATTTCTCTTCCTGTGGCGTTATGCGCCAGTGTGGTACCATCGGGTCTCAGGAAATCATCCAGTGGGTCATCATTCCAAGTTCCTAAAAGGCCTTTTGTGTAACCTTTAAATGACACAGGAGCAGCAAAGACTATGGAGAGTGACTCTTGTACCTCCGTCACTGTCACAGATATTCCAGACGGAAACGTCACAAGGAAGGAACTGTTTTCCGGACGTGATACTGCCACAGAGCCATTTAGGTTCACACTTACGTTGGTTAAACTGTCGAAACCTTGAAACTCTTCTCCATCGACCAACACATTCAAACCTCCTAAAAGTGAAAAACACGCGCATGTAAGATTAAGTAAAAAAAAAAAAAAAAGAGTTAAAATAATACTCAGATACAAAATAATTAATTAACTAATTAATTACCTAATCAATCTATCAATTAATTACACCCTACATGGTGCATCGACACTAACCTCCGTCCTTCAGAGCCACCTGTACAGCGCTTGTGTTCACTTCTTTCGCTACTGCTGCAGCAAAAACGGTTGCCCTTCCTCCTCCTTTGGCAAGTTTTGTTCGTGCTTGTAGCTCAAGGTGTCCATTTTTCGCGTTGACCATTGTATACTCTCCAAGGCCATTGAAGGTGTAGTTTCTACCATCTAGGGTGACGAAATGAGGATCACCCCATAACCAGCCTATGGAAAATAACATACGCCTGTCACTTAAAATATAACCATTTCACCGATGATGTTTCCAGAACGAGTACTAGTTCCGAGATGACAAACATTTGACTATTAAGGACAGGTTCCCAAGGCTTGGCCAGCGTGCAGGACGTCTGCTGAACTAACGCCGCGTGAAATGAAAGAGTAGACGTCTACGCGAAGGCAACTAAAGGCTGGCGAGTTAGGAAAAACACTGCCATTATATTTATTCGACTGTAGAGGTTATATAATAATATTTTTGTACAAATTAGGCAAATACTTTCAGTGAAGACAATCTAACCATGAACACTTAATTAACATTTTTTGTGCACTTTTTTTCTCATTATTGTCTAATAAGGCCTCTTCCCACAAGCAGGAGGATACTTTTTACTTATTTATTCATCAATTTCACCATTTTTATGGCGTAAATATGCTTGTCTTTTTTTGTTGAGTCAAGAGCCCTCATTGTGCAGTCATCCGCAAACAAATGCATAAAAAGGATGTCAAGTGTTCATGGTTTTAGTGTCCTCCCTATCCGAGTAATTAAGTGTTCTTCAAATTTTGGCCTCATGACGTTCGAAGACTGAGCACTTGCTACTGCATCTTCCCACAGTCGCAGTTTGTCCTTTTGATTCATGTTTTACAAACAGTATTTAGCCCAGCGGTCCACTGAAAAACAAACAAACAAACAAAAAAAACTGCAACTTACTCCACACTGGGGGAAGGTAGTTCTCGCATCCTTCTGATGGTCGCTTTCTATAAAATCGTTGACATAGTTTGGACTGCACGCAGCAATATTTAAGGCCCAAGACGTCACTGAATTGATGTTTTAGTGCAAGTGATCTCGAAGCCAGCTTATGATACTGGTGAATAACTCCTCCATTGGGGTAGCCAACGATCAGAGCACCAAACCGGCCGTCAAACCTGGTGTGGTAACAGCACTGTCGACCTCTGTTGGCTGCAGAGGGAAACCTGGTATATACACAGTAGGTGAATGGTGCTTCTGGTGTAGTCCACTGAAATCGCTCGTCGAAGAAAGCTTGCCTCAGAGTGCAAGGACATGGCTCAACAGCATCCCTGTACGAGGAAGGGTCTGGCTGATTGTTAAACCAGCGAAGGCACTTCTGAATGGCGTCTTGTTCTCCTTTTGAATTCTCAAGTCTGAAGAACCACTTTCCAATGATAGCTGTGTTTCCTGGCAGACTGTCGATGCTTTCCATCGCAACTGTTTCTGATCTGTAAGTTGAATAATTAGAGAACCGTGAACATTATCAGAATTTTTCGTAAAAGCCCATCATTGAAAACGAACCTACCAACCTTTTATAGTTAAACAAGTTCCCAGTGTCGTCTCCAGCATTCCAGCCCATGACAGGAAGACCTCTATAGTTGGTGTAGTGTATATAATTGGACCTGAATTAAAAGAAAGTTATCCAAGAATGAAGAAATGGAAACAATATGAAAACGAAATAAAGAAATGAGAATGCGGGTAAATCAAGGATAACACAAAACGTTTAACATTTGTAATGGTAATTAAAAAATGGTACTTACACACTAGTTGGGGCGGACCACTGTATGCCATCTTTAGGGTAGTTAAACATGACAAAGGCGTAAACTCCGTCGGTAATAATGACCGCCTGAAACGTGTTTAGCTGAAATAGAGAGAGAAACCTCCATTGAAAAAATAATATACAAAAAATGAAGCATGTCTGGTCTATTTGGTACAACTTTTGAGAAATGAAAAACAAAATTTGGAACTCAATAGGATATTCAGTTAGAATAAGACCCGCCTTCATTTCAAGTGTTTAAGGCCAACTTTTGAGAATTTAAAAGAATATTTTACATTTCAAGCGTTTAAGGCTAAGGTAAGATATTTGAAAAACAATCCAAGATGATGACAAACCTTATTAATCGATGGCGTGACCATTTCATCCAGTCAGTGAGACAGTCAGTGAGTCCGTGAGTCAGTCAGTGAGCCAGTGAGTCAGTACATACATACATATATACATACATACATATACTTTATTTAACCTCGAATTTACAGAGTAGCTTGTTAGCTAATATCTTCGAGAGAAATAAATATTAGAAAGAAAAAGTAAATAGATTTTGTTTATCATTTCTCAAAAGTTGTCACAGTCACAGTCAGTGAGTCAGTGAGCCAGTTAGTCAGTGAGTCAGTGAGTCAGTGAATCAGTGAGTCAGTGAGTCAGTGAGTCAGTGAGTCAGTGAGTCAGTGAGTCAGTGAGTCAGTGAGTCAGTGAGTCAGTGAGTCAGTCAATCAGTGAGTCAGTGAGTCAGCCAGTCGGTCAGTCAGTCAGTCCGTCCGTCCGTCCGTCAGTCAGCCTCAGTCAGTCAGTCAGTCAGTCAGTCAGTCGGTTAGTCGGTTAGTCGGTCAGTCAGTCAGTTATTTCCGTGCAATTTCCTGTTTCTTTGATTGATTGTTTGTTTATTGATTAATTGATTAATGACATTTTGTTACCACTGTGAGAACCATGCAAACGATCGGTGCCATTAATTGGTAGAGAACATTAATTAATCGCTAGTGTCTCATATATCTGTTAAAAGTTGCATCATTCAAAAGAATATTTTACATATCTCACCAAATTTTGTGAAGCTGCTGTATGTTCCCTAGGACGGAGATTTTCCCAGGTAACAACAAGAACCCAAGATGCACTAAAATTCGTTGGAAGAGGTCTCGAAAGAAGCTTCATGACGTCTGCTGTTGCCATACTTAACGTTGTGTTTGCGCCTGGGATGGAGTCGGAGTATATCTGATAAAATACCTTGGAAGGTCCAGTGACAAACGAGTCTACGAGGTCTATGTTGCTCCAGTAAGGTGCCAGAATTGGATCGTATTTCAGCCAGTATCTTTGACCAAATTTGTAAGGCCATCGGTTGAAACGTTCACTTTCAAACTGGACTACGCCATTGGGACAAAGCTGTAGAATGAAACAAGTGTAGTAAAATAATGTACATTTATCTGATTTGATAATCCATACATGTACTTTATTTACACCACAACTTCGTGGGTGGACTAGTAGTCTGAGTAAATCATCGTTTGCGTATTACGTCTGAGTCTGTTGATTTGTTCCTCCTCGATATTCATTCTAGCTTGAAGGTGACAAGTGATCATGAGAAATCATGTGTCTGTCGGCTTATTGACAATGAAAATTAGCCAAAGAGCGGGCGAGAATTTCTGCAGTTATCGTAAAAAACAATATTGAGGGCTATTTGTGGTTGAACGAGCTACAAAACTTACATGGAGTTTCCTATGTCGTTTACCAAAGAATGCCATTCCTCCGTCAGGGATATTTATCCTGAAACACTTCTTTCTGCTGATGTCGAATGCAATAACAGAATCCCCGGCAGTATCTCCAAAAGGGTACATCAGGGTAATCGGTTCTAAGGAAACATCATCTACAATCAATAAAGTTGAATTCCTTCCCAATACATTAACACCTTCGCTACGACAGTAAACGCTAAGGTATCACTAAAAAAACACAAACAAACAAACAAATTTATATATTTATCATACTCTAGTCGTTAGTCAGTTGTTACGTATTTAGAATTTTCCCAAACTTTTAACTTTTTTGCCTTCCCAAATTAACCACAAAAGAGCAAAAGTTGAGCACGACAGACGGTCCCCTCTTGAAATCTCCCACCGTATAAATGAGATCGTACAAAAATATAGCCTTTGACCCGGGACAGCGCACGATTGCATAAAAATGCTGGTCTCTATCTTATTTCTGCGAGATACATATCGGGTAAATTTTATTTTACCCCAAGTATTTCTGTTAATAATAACCTTAGGCCAGTTTTTGAGACCAGCCAGGTTGTCTTTACAAAACAGTATCACTGAGCCACTGACTATAACTCAGCCGTGTCTCTTTGGGGCATGACTGGACCTGGACAGGATTGGATATTCCGTTCTAATATTAATATCCAATTTATTCTCCCTTACGCATGTATGCTAACCTGGCGTTGGAGTAGTTATTGACGCAGAGGTCGTTTCTGGCTCTGTTGCTAAAGGAAAAGGATCGGAAATGAATAAGTTATTACATCAAACAAAATTGAAGTTATTACATGTACAAATGCAATTTCTTTTAGTTAGATTTTATGTTTTCTTTGGCTCGACTCGACTTATTAGCTGTTTAAGCTGGAGGTCTAACAAGCCCTGTTGCTCCAGTATAAAGTATCAGTATCAAGCTATTATGCCGTCCTTGGAAGATTAACCTCTTTCCTTTCTCAGAGAAAACACGGATATATCTTAGGGTAGGTGTTCTCCAACAAAACTGATAAAAGTTTAGGTCTAACAACTTATAATCTCGTAAAATTTTTACCCCTGCCCACTGAGGTCCGTCAGGTAAAGCTCTTAAAACGTGTTACATACCCTCTAACGTTTCAAAGGTAATTTCTTGACTTCCATAAGTATCTTTGTTTGACGTATATCCCAATGCCATTACTTTGTAGTTAGTCAGTCCCTTCAGTGACCGTAGTGTGATTTGTGTATTTTCACTCCTTTCGAATTTCCATTCGCGCTTCCCATTCAACGCGGGCTTGTAGAGCACAATGTAATTCTCAATCGGATTGGCATCAGCAAAGGGGGGCAATGTTAAAGTGACTTCGTGGCCGGTGATACTTCCATCGACAATACTGACAGCTAGAATTTACAAAAATAAAATAAATTAATAAATAAACTTCCCATAAACCTTATTTACATCAGCAACTTAAGTGTTTTTCATTTCATAACGCTTCTTAGTCATGCGGTCTCTTATAGAGGAGTCAACCATTGGAAACAGACAGTTTTCGAACAATGTGCTCCTCTGGGTACTGAATTAGGTTTCCTCGCCATTTGATAATTTTTTTCTGCGTAATTGAAGTGTTATTTACTGGTTATGTATATTGTAAATCATGATAAATAAATGAAAAAAAAATATTTGTGCTCAAAGCGTTTCCGAGTACCAACTTATAAGAAGAATTTATTGATTTCATTTTCCTGGTCATTGTTTAGAATACTTTATAACTGGTTTTCACATGACGTCACCAAAATTCGAACTACAAAACTATTGACCTTCCTGAGATTTAACTTAAATGATGTATCAGAGTAGCTGAAAACTAACAATCATGCAAACTTTCGCTCCGAATGAGTTCTTGGTTTTGTGATACACTACGCTTGAATTTCGAAGCTTTTGCGTGACGCGGCATTTGCATGACGGCCTAGAGAGCTGTCATGATGGTCAAAAAAGTCACTTATTTCGGGGAACTTGGCTATCTGAACAATTCATTTCTTAGAAAAAGTATTATTTTAATGGTTTAGAGTTCCTCGAGGGATAAATTCACGCTTTTGTAGCAAACCTCAGTGACAGATGTTTCTGTTGGNNNAATTTTGGCGAGAGTCTTTGCATATTTACCTTCTTTCATTTCCCAGATTCTGGACTTTATCTATTGACCGGTTTTGATTTTTATTTTGATCTATTTTGATTTGCGTGACACTGAAAACCAGCAATTGATATCTTGACTTATTAACAAGTCAAACCGAATTCGAAGAGTGGACATGTCAGTGAACTGGCTAGTTGTGAAGTGCACGTAGCTAAAATGGAATTGTGGTTTTAGAAACTAAATCAACTCAGCACAAAAGAGCTTTCCAGATGACTTATAAAAGACCATTGAATTGAGGTACTGTTACCGTTGGCTATCTGAACTATTTAATCATAATGTATAAAATAAATGGATGAACTTATGAGCGTGCGATCGGGAATCCTTTTGCGATAGAAAGCCAGATTGCAATATCTTGAATTTGCGAACGGGAGTAGTTTGCTCCTTGAATTCTGAAAGGTCTCTGAAGAGACTCTTGGCCGAGACGAAACGCCGGGTCAGACTTGCTTCGAACCATTTATTTTTTTCTCACAAGTATATCACAATTCTTTAGAGATAGCTCTATTTGATTATTCAAGGTACTTACAAATCTTTGGAGTCTTGTCTACAGCAAAATAACTGGCGTTGAATCCTTGCTCTACTGAGTCGACATTGGATTGGAACTGCACTGCTGCTGGGTTGGAAGAGTTGGCTTCAATGATTAAAGCAAACGGATTCCTGTTTCCGCAATACGGAATAGTACGCCCAACATTGGACAATGTTCCAGCTAGGATGTAGTCATTCTTGAAATTCCTGAAACAGCAACCGAGAACAATACAATGCTCCTATGACGTACAATCTAATATCACCGAGACCGACATTTATGGGCGATTTGGAACCTGAAGATAAGGGACTTTGAGAACTTAGTCTGTAAGGCATGCGTCAAAAATTAACATTTTTAGATGAAATCTTTGAAAATATCGAACTGCACTTTAAATCCATCTGTTGTTGACGTACACGACACCCCGGTAGGAACGACGTCAATTCAACATCCATTGCTTCTGCATGACTCTTACCAAAACAAATCAACTTTTATCACAATTTTTCTGGGTTTACTACTAACTACGTGTCCAATAGAATCATAAGGTCTTGCTCCTGAAAGGGTTCAAAATGTGAGAAGGTTAAGCCTTCATGAGTCCATGTTTTAAGAATTGCTAATTGTGTCAGGCTTCATAGATCATTATTGATGTAAAGCACTTTCATACAGGAGCGGAGAAATACAAAGTTTTATTATTTTTTTTATAATCCTGGGTCAGTGGTAATAAGCTTTTAAGTAACCCTACCCCCGCCTTCCCTGGAAAAATGCTGCTATAGTTATTACTTATCTAATGTACCTGCACATACCAGAAGTACTTTTGCTTGCGGTCCTTTATTTATCCTGCTCTTACCAAATTGATTAATACTTATATTATAAAGTTAAGCATAGGTTTGATGCTTTGGTTTAACTCTGTATTCCTAGCGCTTGTCGAGATCCATCATTAAAAGAGGATTGAAATCACGAAGAGCTCACTACAGAACCCATACATCAAGCAGATAAAATCAGTTATTCTTTGAAATAGATAGCTTACTTACGTGCAGTTCGGTTTTCCATCTATGTCCTCTGTATTGAAAGTATCGAAGGCAAGGACAAGTCGGTACTCCAGTAACCCAGGTGCCACGAGCCAATAACAAGCTACATTATTTGGATAGTCATCTGAAAATCCAGGGCTTGTTATCTTACCCATTGTTTCGTAAACATAACCCCGCATACAGCCTAAAATAAAATTCAAAGGAAAAATATGAAATGTCACAGAGCGGGCGTCGTATTAAATAGGACGAATTAATCACTTTATAGCCTAATTAAGTGTTACTTAGAAAAAGTAAGGATAATTTTCGAACTAAACAACGTTGTAGTACCATTCTTAAGCTGTCTATTTATTATTCTGTAAGCTTAACTAACCCTCTCGAACGACGCCCACTTTGAACAACAGTTATTCGTAACAGGCACCAGCCTGCTCTATTGGAAATCCGTAAACATTACTGGTTTACTACTGTTATTCGTTATTAAGGTTCACTGCTAAAATTTCGTACTGGCTTAAACTAATTGAATGAAGTTATATTTTTCATCGGCGAAGAGTGAATACAAGGTCCCGCTGTATTGTGTTATTATAAAGGGAGAAAGGATTCATTGTTTCTGAGGCTTCGCTTACGGAAACTTGTAGGTTTTGGAGAAAAGTCCTTAGGAGTATCTATGACAATAAACTCATTTCTTGATAATTTTAAGATTTCCTTCAAAATACATCTTTTGGTTTTCTACTTTTCGACGTCATTCTCGGAAAGTGCTCCTTTAATATTCAAGGTGCAGACATTTTGGCGGAATTTTCCATCCACACTGAAGCGTTATTGAGAGTACTGTGTCTACAATCGTATTGGCGATAACATTAGCTAAAAACATGCGAGAGACTTTATGTTTTTCAAAAAAATATGAATCATTAACAGCTTGTCTTAAACTTCCTTTACGGGGTTTCTTCTCAGAAAATTCACTGTCATGTAAGAACTCCTTTACCTGGTTGGACTGGCACGGACTCGCTCTTCACTCCGACGCCAACGGCTGTAAACCCTGCAACCCTGACCTCATAGATATCAGTATAAATAAAGTTGTCGCTGATAATGACTTGCAAGGTGGATGGTCCAACCGTGACCATTGAATAATTTCCATCGTCTAAGAGGCTACGATAGAAAATCTTGTACCCTTGTAGCTCTCCGTTCACACTACCATTCGCGATGTGAAACCAAGATACGTTTATAGAGTTCGAATCAGGACTTAATGCAGTCACGTTCACGGGCGCCTCGCTTGGAACTGAAAAATAATTAAGTATATTATAGTAGTCTTATATTGTACCTAGATATATACCTGCTATAAATGTCTATGTTTCATCTTTCTGTTTAATACAGATACCCTTTCATTGAATATACGTTGTTTTTGTTTTTTTGGAGGGCAATCTTAGTCGTCTTGAAAACTCGGGTTTTTGAGTTAATACTCTATTTACTATCAGTTAGCCCTTTACAATGTATGGTGCGGTTCTTAGGGATGATCCGGATCAGGAACAATGATTCAAGAACTCTTGGATCTTGGGACATCAAGCCAACAGATGAATCCTCACCCACAGTGGATTCATCGAATTCCTCGAGGCACCATGTTCCGCTTGATCTTGGGTCACGGATCCTTATCCGAATCTTCTCTACGTGCCTTTAGTAGGTTGTGGACTCACACAATTGGTATTTTCCTCCGAAATATTCATAATAACTATAATGAAAGTTGATTAAGGTAATATTTTATGACAAATATTTACCTCCCTCTACAGTGCTGACAGTGAGTATCTGACTTCCTTTAAAACTGAACGCTCCCGTAATCTTGTGAACTGTTAAAGCCAAAACCTGCAGACGGTACTCAGTTAGTGCTCTAAGTCGCAGTACCTCTAACTGTATATTTGTTTTACTAGCTGTTGCCACAGTCGGTCCAGTATCGTGATTGGTCGGTGTACATACAACAGCATACAAGGCCAAAATGTAAGGATCATCGGGGGCATAGTGCGCCCAAGAGACGTTCATGCTTGTCGATAATATGCTCAAGATGCTGATATTCCATTCGTTAACTACAGGAGCTAAAAGAAATAGACGAAAATGGTTATTACATACAATGATGTCAAAAGTTCGGATTATTGAATAGCCCTAACAAGCTTAGGCCTTAACCTTTAGACGTTCCAGAAAAATCATATCCCCGCTGCGGCCGATCGCGAATTGCCCTAAGCCTAATGTCTAATGAATGAAATCTCATTTTCGTATGAAAGGATGAGCTCCAAGAGAAGCTTTGACAAAGAGGTAAGGGCAATTCGGTTATGGCTTATTGCTTTTTGTTGTTTATGACGTCATAGCTTCCGCCATCTTGGATTCCGACACCATCTTGGATTTTGGGATTTTCTCAGAAAGTCAGAGAGAATCGAACGAAAACTGATGAAAATTATTCAACATTATAATGGATGAAAAAATAAAATAATTCTTTCAAATAGAAATATGAAGTAATATGTTTGGATTGGTCCAGCAAAAGTTACTCAGCCCAAACTGCACAAGTTCTCGTTAACCTTAGAGGACCACGCATAGGCCGTAAACAGCGGAATCTGAATTAAGAAAGCACTCGCGTTGGACGAAATGGGCAACGTTATACATTTGCTGACTGTTGGTTACAACAAAAACCGAACTGAATATTCTCTACCACCATTAAATCCGTCCCTTGTCGCTATTACAAGTACATTGGAGACAAATCTTGCTCCTACATTTTTTCCCCTCTTCTACTAAAAAGGACTACGTTGATCGTTGGTTGACTTTTATATTCTCGGGCGCCGTTAAAACTTCGAGTAAAGGGAGAATGCGTCTCCAAACTTTTAACTGGCATAATGGAGACGAATTACCTATAATTATTTTTACTTCAACTAATATACGATTAAGTGCAAACACACAGGTCACAATCGAGCAAGCCTTGAGGAAGCCTGGAGACGCTATATGACAATTTACATTTCTATTATGTTGAATGAGTAGTTCAACGAGTTTTTTGGAGGGCCTCTAGAGCACAAGTGTCATATATGTTAGCGAGGTATTATTTTCCTTACCATTTATTATCGATTCATCGATAACCTGGTAACGAGCTTGAAATCCCGACCAGGAATAAGTGTAACGGGTGGATTTGTAATCGATGTGTAACTTCTGCGCCAGAAAAGTGAGGGTATCTCTCTGGCTACACAGGGGTTCAGATCTTGCACCACTGTCATCTCTAACAGTTACATAGAAGTCTCTGAAAAGAAACAAAAGACAGATATTATTTGATATACGATAAACCGATTTCTTTTTTGTTAATTTTACAACTCATTTCCAGAAAGCGGGTTGAGCGTTCAAAATACCCCACCTAGAGGGCATCGATCTGACGTGTTTGATATATCTTTTCGATCAAAACCAAAAGCACGGAGAAAACGGGGAAATAAAATCATAAAAATCTATGCTGATTGAAAGAATACACCCAAATGATTTCCAGTAATCTAAATTTGATTTCAATTGTTTCGTTTTGTTGCATGCCATGTAATCGGAAAGACTTGCATAAGTTTCAAAATAAACCACAAGTTATTTTACTATTTACAATTCATTCATCCTTTCTCGTTCTTCATAGAGCTAAGATGCACGCAGAAAGTTGTGGAGAGCAGCATGGCCGAGTGGTTAGTGCGCCAGATTTGAAATCCGGAGGTCGCCAGTTCAAGTCCCGATCTGACCACTAAGCTTGGTTGTTTCTCGGTAGACCCTACAGTGTAGTTCAAATTCTCGCACACGTTTGTAAGTAGCCAACTGGTATTCCTCCAGCCAAATGGGATTCTTAAGCCAATTATGATAAGTTGATATTTATTTCTTTCAGTTTAAGTGGCATGCCTGAGAACTAGCTTGTTGTAGCTAAGCGCATCCACCACTATAAAAAATCGACATTTTTTTTTAAACTAGAGTAGCGCAATAGTTGCAACTCTAGCTTCTGGAGTATTCTCCAAAGTTCTCTAGCGCACTATAACTCAGTGATGCAAAGCAAAAAGTATGAATGAATTATTTTATAACTTTGTCAATTCTCTACATGACGACGTGAAGCTCACGTTGCTCACGTCGTGATGTGCGCTTACGTATACTGGGTTCACTAATTAAACAGTGACATACTTGCATTTGTTTGACAGTGGTATATTAAAATCTGAAAAGTTGAGTAAAACGCTTTTGTTTCCGTCACCAGGGTCAATGTCCCAAATGCATTCTGAATATTCGATTCTTTTCGGAAACCCAGGACTTTGAATAGCCCCTGAACTGTTGCGTATTGCTGATCCACATTCTGAGGACAAAAATAATGAGTTTTTAAGAACTTTGTACGACTGATTAATATAAGGTTAAAGAGTTAAAGGACTAGTAACGAGTATGTACGACTGGAATGTTAAACTGCAGCGTTTTTGACCAATAGGCCACGTTCGATTTAACAATTATTCCACGAGCACTCGTTGGATAAGTGCCTTAGCGAGATGTGAGATAGCCAACGAGGCGCGGGGCGCCTAGTTGGCTATAATCATCTCATATCCAAGAAGCGCGAATGAAATAATTGCTTTATTAAAAACGCGCCCCAAATATAGAAAAAAGGCTAAACTAAAATATTGTCCCCCGCATTCACCTTATTCCAAAATGGCCGCCATTTAAGTATTCTTTTGTTTACTTGCAAATTAGCAATTGTTGCCTTGTTCTTAAACTCGAAATTCGAAAGAACATTTTCCCTTAAACGAGGCAACAAGGACTCATTTTCAAGTAAACAAAAGGATACTAAAATGGCGGCCATTTTGGAATAAGGTGTATACGCTTACCATATTTGCAGAGCATGGTATAATGGTTCATAGCCCTTCATGACTAATTAAAACTTTAGAACTGAATTATCCAATGATCCAGTTTTTAATAATTGCTCATATACCATAATGGCTAAGCCAACGAACACTATAGAATTGCATCATTCAATAATCCTGTTTTAATAAATCTCATTATTCAAACATGTTTCCGTGACTTCCAGGACAAACTTTTATATTTGGTGGTTTTTTCTTTGTATCCAGGTCTCCGAATTCAGGAGAAAACGAAACTTAGCAAATTGGCAATTTTGTCCTGAAAGCCTCGGACGATTTAGTAAAAAGTGGCATCCGCATTTTTTAAAATTTTATTTTATTTATTTATTTATTTATTTATTGATTTTTTTTTTTGCAAAATCTCATTCTGCCGCCTTCGACACCTTGTGCGAAGTGAGCCGGTTTGTACAGCTACCCTCGGGACCATAGACTTTATTTTTAATTACAACTGGTATCCCAGTGTATCAATTGAACATTTAGTAAATGTTAAACTACCATTTTATACATAGTCATGTCTTGACTATGGAAGGCGCGGTGGCCTCATGGTTAGTGCGTTCGACTCTGAATCAAGTGGTCCTGGTTCGAGGCCTTGTCAGGGACATTGTGTTGTGTTCCTGGGCAAGACACTTCACTCTCACAGTGCGTCTCTCCACCCAGGTGCACATATGGGCACTGGCGAGCTTAATGCTAGGGGTAACCCTGCGAAGGACTAACATCCCATTCAGGGAGGAGTTTAAATACTCCTTCCTAGTCATTTCATGCTACATAGAAGCCTGAGATAAGCGCTGGGCTGATGATGCTTAAATATAAACTTCATAGACATAAATGTACATAAAATATACATACGGATAAACTGATCGTTATCATTGTATAATTACTTGCTGCAAAGAAATGACTTACTTGTCCCGATATACGCTGTGTTTTTGTCACTTCCTTCTCCTTTAGACGTGAATGCTTTTACCCATACTCTATAATCGGTATTCGGCTGAAGTCCAGTAATTGTCATCTCCAGTATGTCAGGGCCGACCGTTATATTGCTGACAGACCTACTGTAGTAGTACTTGTAAGCAGAGATGTAATATATTCGATATCCTCTCAAAATGCCGCGAGCATACTTTGGTGAAAGCCTTTCCCACCTGATCCAAATCGTGTTGTAATCAATGGCACGATAATCATAGAGGTAAGGGCTTTTGGCTGGCACTAAAAGACAACAGAACAAAATTGAATGAACGTAATTGGAACCAATCCTGAGGGGTCAGAGGAAACAATCCTGGTGGGTTCAGAGGGGACCATGGGCCCTGGGAAGGCCAAACGAGAAAACCACATGTCCGTGTGAAGGTTGTTCCAGTGGGAAGAGGAATGAATGGATACATACATAGAGGTAATGAGCTTGTGTTTTAAACATGCGCCTCTTACTACTTTATTGTGGATAAATTTCAAAGGCTCTTGAGCAAGGAAAATATGCACAGGCTCGGATGACCAAGCGAGGTTTTTGTTTTTTATGTTAATCAAAAGACCTACTCAAATACAAGGACCATCAATTGAACAAAGAGTGCTCTTGTTTATCGCCCATTGTTCATTCTAATCTTGCATCATATTCTATCAGTCAAGTTTACCTCCTTCTTCAGTTTGAACTACTTGACCGGTATTAACACGTTGACTTTCGTCAGCTAGAATGGCGACCAAAGTCAAGCTGTAGTTGGTAAAAGGTTCCAGTCTTGAGATCTTCACCCGAGGTTTGTTTGCAGGCAACCAAAGCGCGCTGTAATAACCTCGCGCCGAAATAGGCCTGTATAGGATGAGATATTTTTGAACAGAGGAAACGCCGAAAAAATTATTCGGAGGCATTGTCCATGAGAGATCAATAGATGAATTGCTGGCACTGACTTGAATCCCAGTCCAAGAGTCTAACGTCTCTCCTGATAAAAGCGAAATATAGTAAAGTTAAACAAGGAGACTAAATTAACTTATTATAACTTACTTTTTTTCTTCTTTATCCTTTAACCCTTACGTGCACATTTCTTTTCAGGAGCCTTGTGTCCAAAACTATAATGCTTTATTCAGACATTTCACACAATGACAATTTTGAACGTTTGCCGTCTGACTTTTGACTCCGAAAGAGGGACTACTCGTAGTGTATCGGACACTTATTAAGGTCCAACTAGATCACCCCCTCTCGTAAGCTTTGGTATTCTGTTTTTCATTGAACGAACTATAAACGAGCGTGCAATCAAATATAAAAATAATATAGACTTTCCGCTGGGGCCGGGTAGGATATAGTCATAACCTATTACTACAGTTAGAGAGAGCTGTAATTATGTTACAGGTCGTTACAGTATACCCAGGACCCTAATGGTTTACACTGCTCATTGGGCAGAAATTTGCCAAAACAGTATAAATTTTACGTGTACCTGTTATGTCGGTGATATTTCTTTGTTCGGCTTTGTAATGTCCCAGGACTGTTGAGTTATTGGGTTTAGGACCATACCTAGGGTCTCTGAAACCATCAACACGAAGATTTACGCCCGTCCCTTCAATCAGCAACGTCTCGTTTGTTAATTGGCCGCAGACTTTCAAAAGAAACCGCTCATTATCATCATAATCGTAGTAATCAGCATCATCATTACCCGCTGTTTCCGGTATAGAAATACGAACTCCTTCACTGATATATAGTGAATGGATAAGAAAAAAAAAAAGAAAAAAAGAAAGAAAGAAAGAAAGAAAGAAAGAAAGAAAGAAAGAAAGAAAGAAAGAAAGAAAGAAAGAAAGAAAAAGACGTCATTAATGCGAAGTTTCTAGCAGTCTAAAGATAAACAGTAAAAATAATGGACAGCTGACAGACCAAAGCAGGCAAAGCTTAATTGAAGGAAACGTTCAAGAATGATTGGTTCGAAAAAATTGATCAGTCCGACGGTCGAAGCCCGCCATGATCCCGGTGTCTGTGAAATAATATATGGTTATCTGGTCATTTCAAAGTTAAGATACGTCTGAGACATGAAGTATAATACATCTGTCATGCATGAGACGGATATGCCCAGGATTACATGCTAATAAGATGCATCCTCTTCATGGGAAGCATAACAAAGTGTCCTCATTTGTAAAAAGTCAGCAAAAGCACATAATTCCGTCAAGTATAAAGTGATATGAAAATGACACTTTGTGATACTCAAATAAAGCAAGTATGCGTGCATTTCATTAACGTTAAATCCTGCACATAAGTGGTTTACCTGCAATAGCCATCGTTTTGTTGACCGAGAGACAACTCGGCAAACGTCAACCATATAATCGATGTGTTGGATTTAGGGTTGACCTTCCACAGGCAGCGAGTTTGTTGGTACGATACAAAATAGTAAGCATCGATAATGACATTCTTAGCGCTAGAGAAGTTGCCGCTATCCTCTGTAAGGTAGCTACCACACACTGTGAAAACGAGGAGAACAATCTCAGTCAATACGGGGTAAAAGTATCGGGAAAGTTAAGTCTGTACTAGAACGTAATACTGCCTTGACGAAGAGAAGACTCAAACTGATGATATGAATAAACTTACTAGCATTGTAGTCACTAAAATGCTTGCTCTGTTATGGAAACTTACAGTAACCTCTTGTTACGCATACCTCCATTCGACATGGTTTTCCATCCATGTTCTTTTTTTTTATTTCCTTTTCCTTCGCAAAAGTCGAGGAGCTAAAGTTTGATTTCTACTAAGATTAGATATCTGGGGTAACCCGGCTTCGGACAAGAAACAACGGCAGTGGGATAGCTAGGCTGCTACCAGCCCTTCACTGCGAGAGTTCCGCCAGAACTTTCAAAAGAAATAACCACAATTTTCTTTGTTTTCTTTCATTTTAAAATTACATGTTATTTGGCCCGCGGATAGCAAGTGCTAATCTAGGCGGGTCATTAATCGCTTATGCATATAACTAGATTAATTAAATAACAATGATAAAAATTAATTTAAGATTAAAGACATAGTTAATATCATTATCGTTTCTGTATATTAAGACTACTAAAATAGAATCAGGGGAGAATAATGAGAGAAGACATTGATTTTAATCACTTAAGAGTCCCTGTCTATAAATATGGAAAATATCTCGGCAAAGGTCGAAAATTCGATTTCGCACATATTCTTATGGTAGANCGGAGGAATTTGAAAACACAAGTTTTGAGTTTTAGCCAAAAAATAGGAAAAAAAAACAAAAACAAAAACAAAAACAAAACAAAACAAAAAACGATGGCATCAGGGTAATCATTTGATTTCCCTGTACGCTCGAGTTTTCCTCCAACACATATCTTTTATGACCGGTGATCAATGAGTTTCTTCGACGTAGTGTGGTCAGGAAACACTTGATGCGTTTTCAGAGTGAAAACGCTGTTTTCAAATTTCTCCAGCGTAATGTGGACGGGGCATCAGACAAGTGAATGGCAATTGCAAATCAACTTATCTCGCTACTAAGAGTGCACGAAAAAAAAAAAAAAAACTTCTGTAAATTCCTAGAACTTGAGAAAAATGTTTCATTCTCACTGTTAATGTCAGTCAACGGAAAATGCAAATTATATGACAGGCCAAATTCTCCGCTACTTCCAAATGTAAGAACTTCACGCATGCAGATCGCATTCTAGGAAGTTAAGACATTACCTTGGTGGTCGTTACACTCCAGGAAATAGTTATTGAAGAATCGTTAGATGACCTTGAGTACCCCGTTGGAAGAGTTCCAGTAACAGTAAAGGTCAATGAATCGTTGTTCGGATCTTCCGCCACGACAATAATGGTTGCCGTAGTGTTAATGGTCACGTTAACTTCGCTTGGCCCAACCAAAATCTTCGGTGGGAAATTTTCTGGAGGCCAAGAAATAAATATAGAAATAAATATGGCATATACTGAATAACGGAAAATATAAATGATGAAGAAAGTTTTGGCAGATCATCGAGCTAAATAGCAAAAACAAGGCGAAAAGGCGAAAAGCAAGAAGATTATTAGCTTTTAAGGAAGGCACATAATGCTTGGATTCTCTGTCAGTATCTATCACTAGTTCAACGGAAGCTTTCCTTGTTTTATGAAAAAAAAGATAATTACATTTCTAATGATGAAGTGCTGAGATGGTTATGCTGCGCACACAGAGCTTAACATTTACACTTTATTAACGAACAACTGGGGCCTGGTGGTTTTTTTGGAGGCTTCCTCGCCCTATCAAAAATTGTTGTTATTTTATACGTTTCTTTACTTATCAGTGTGTCAAGATATGATGATGAGGAATTAAATTGCATTTAGCGTATGAAAGGTCTCTTGGAGGAAATTATCTTTACCACGGCTTCAAAGCGAGTCGCTAACAAGTTTCATTTTTCGTGACTTTCCTTAAAACGTCGATGTATTATTTACTTCCTCTGCACACTTACGTAATTCTTGCGATTCACTTTCCAGTTGTACAGACGTTTGTTTGGTACTCGCCCCCACTGCCGTATCACCTGTGGAAGCTATGTCAAACAGGCAGTTGGCATCCCCTTGACAAATTTCTTCTGCTTCCTGTCTTAATGCGTCGTTTGCAAATGGGATGGGTTCATCCAAGAAGATGGGAACAAATGATGCATTGGCAAAAGTGGTGGTGTTTTCTCCAGGGTTGTACGTGAATAAGCTTGTGTTTGACATCACTTGCCCTAGAGACATTTTTAAATATCCATCATGTAATCTTGTCAGGTAGAGTATCCTAACAGACTTAATCCTTTAGGCTCCTAGTGGCGCAAAGGGCGTCAAGGTGGAGTATCCTACAAGAACACAACTATAGACTCATAGCGGGAGAAAAGAAAAAAAAAAAGAGCAAGCCTGACCATTTGCATCTTAACATCAACTTTCTTTTTCTTTTTACCGAGTTTATCGAGTTTGCCTTCTAACTTCTTGATATCTGTCTTTTCTATTCCTTTATTAATCATTTCCCCAACGTTCGCCTACACGCTTTCTGCTAAAGATAGCTTCACTGCGTTAACTTTTAGGCAGCTTGAATAGTTACATACAGTTTTTGATGTTCACATGATTGTTTCTAATGATACTGATTCTTGTAAAACAAGTTTTGTTTTCAGTTTAGATACTATTATATTTTGTTTAGTTCAAATGTGTACTACATTGATAATTTGTTGTTGTTGTCGTTGTCGTCATTGTTGACGCGAGTTTTGTTGTTGTCACTGTTGTTCTCGTTGCTGTTACGATGGAAAGTTGGGAACAGGTCGTAGAGACCTAACGATCGTAAAGTCCTACAGCACAAAATATATGTGTCAAATAGCTTTTATATGCTAAGATTGTGAGATTTAAGCTTAACAGCCTCAGAATCAATCTTACAGAACGTCAAACTAACTACAGTCGAACCTCCCGTAAGCGACCACCCAAAATGTCAAGCCTAGGTGGTCGCTACCGTGAGGTGGCAGCTTGCGAGAGCTTAGACCATATTGGATCCAAATTTTGCCTCATTAGCCTAAGGTAACTGCAGAGACCCATTCATGTTTTAAATGTTTTATTCATGTAGAAAGTCGATTTTCAGAAAAAAATCCGGTACTTCCCATTGAGAAATTTCCGTCTCTTGTACTATCCAATATCCGCTCTATTATCTGTCAAGTGGTCGCTTACGGGAGGTTAAAACAAAAGAAAATTTCAAATTTTTAGCTCTAAAAGTTGTCGTGGTCGCTTACGAGAGGTGCTCGCTTACAAGAGTTTCTAAACATAGTGATTTGACTTGGAAACGTTTGGTATTTTGGAGAACTGGCTGGTGGTCGCTTACGAGAGGTGGTCGCAACCGGAGGGTCGACTGTAGTTGTAACAAGCTGAGTGTAAACTTACACTTCAATCCAAAGTCAAAATGTATTTCCCTGCCCGTGGCATTGGATGGCAGAGTAGTCCCATCAGGTCTCAGATAGTCGTCCAGCGTGTCACCGTTCCATGTCCCTAAAAGACCTTTGGTGTAAGTCTTGAATTTTGTGGGTGCGGCAAACACTATTGACAGGGATCCCTGTATCTCGGTGACTGTCACAGATATTCCAGACGGAAATGTGACGAGGAAGGAGTTGTTTTCCGGACGTGACACTGCCACAGAACCACTGAGCATGACACTGACATTTGTCAAGCTGCTGTAGTTTTGGAACACTTCACTGTCTACTAGAACCTCAAGTCCTCCTGCAGTAAAAACGAAAATACTGAATGAGTTGAGGAAGCAAGCAAAACAAAGAGAAATCTAAAACTGGTAGAATAATCAATAGCGCGACATGTCTTGACGAAATGACAAAAGATACTTGTCTTTTACAAAAAAATTTGTCCTAAAATTTAAGAAAAATAAGAAGTCTGACATCTTTCTTTGGAATAACATTTTGCATAAATTATTTAATGACCTTCGTCTTTCAGATTGACTTGAACAGTGCTTGTATCTTCCTCTTTCGCCACTGCTGCAACAAACACGGTAGCTGTTCCTTCGCCTTTGGCAAGTTTTGTTCGAGCTTGTAATTGGAACATCCCGTCTTTAACGTCTACCATGGTGAACTCGCCGAGACCATTGAATGTGTAGTTTCCGGTGTCCAGGGTAACAATGTGAGGATCGCCCCACAACCAACCTGCAATACACCCAGCCAAAGAATGACTAAATCCCAACACCTAGAGAACTAACGCACTACGGCAGGCTCGTATCATCACCACTTTATTGTGTTTTTGTTTCGCGGGCAGTTCAGGATAGCGGGAGTTTCAGTCTATCATACGTAGAGAAGGACAAATGTAAAAGTAGAGTTAAAGGAAAGGAAAAGAGAAGGAAACTTATCCTGCCCTTCAGCTATTCCTTTTCCTCCTCTTTTATGTTCCTCTCTATCCATCCCCCAAGAGGCGCCTGACAACCAGGTTGGTCGAGAAGACAAAAAAAAAACAAACATAAAAAAAAAACCAACCAAACAAAAAAAAACAAGAGGTTACCATAACAGACAGAACTTACTCCACTCAGGCGGCTCGTATTCCTCACAGCCCTCCGATGGCCTCCTCTCAAAGTATCTCTGGCACCAAATGGGATTTTGTGCCTCTTTACAGCAATATTGGAAAGGCCGCACGTCACTTTCAAGGTGCTTTGTTTGCAGTGACGGTGTCAGCTTATGGTAGCGATCGAGGGTGCCTCCACCAGGGAAACCAATGATAAGGGCTGCAAACCTCTCCTGACTGGTATAGTAACAACACTTTCGACCACGGCCATCGCGCGATGCGAAACGGGTGTAGAAACAGTAGGCGAATGGTTCGTCCGGCTCAACCCATTCATACCTCTCATCAAAGAACGCCTGAACTCCTGTACAGGGACAAGGATCTGGTGGATCAGAAAAGGAGCTCGGTTCCGTCTCTGTGTCATTTCTAAACCATTGTTCGCACTTCAAATCGCCATCTTCTTTGCCATTAGAATCTTCGAGTCGGTAGACCCACCTTCCTGGGATATTTGCATTTCCAACAAGATTATCGATGGCTTCAATTCCAGTAGTCCCCGACCTGTGAAGCAAAATAAGGGCACCNCAAGGAGCACGACCAGATCACGTGCGAGTCGAAAGTTCAAGTTGTTGTTTCCCTAGGGAGTTAGTGAGTTTTGTTCGCCCTAGGGAGTCAGTGAGTCTTGACCCACGACACGTGACACGTTCTCCTCCAGTTGGAAAACGTATTTGAGTTGGGAGATATAAGAATATAAGTTAAGTAACGCTTGGGATATGTGGAATCCCAGCGATGGACTCAGACTAGGGTAGCGACTTTGTTAAATCTCATTCACAGCGACAGCATGAGAACTACGACATAACTTTGCTCATTGAAAACGTCTCACAATGCGATATTTTGAACGTTGGAATTCTGCTCTCAGAAGTCTTTATCGCGCATTTAAGGAGGCTTTGTAGAAAGAGATGTCCAGTTTAAGTAACCTCTGGTTAGAAGGCAGAGAGGTCAAAAGGCGAGCGACAATTTTTAACTGTCGCCGGACATTTAACCATTGCCACGTGACCATAAATCGAGGTGGGATTTAAATAACTCCAGCTATGTAACTATTGTTTATGTTACAGGAAAATAATGATACGGAGCCAAAGGTTCCAAGAGCGAAGTCTTTACACTCCCCCTACCAACCCACCACCGAGGCGAGAGGTCTTTTTTAAGCTTTTAATTTTGAAAACAATAAAGAAAAAACACATTCATTCTGTTACGTGTAGTTAGATGACAACATTGTGCAATTCTGATATTCTGAAAACAAGTACTACTTCCATCTTAGAATAATTTCATACTCAACTGGGAGAGCATGCATGAATTTGCAGAGAAAAAAGATGCTTCTTACCTTTGATGATTTTTGTAATAGCCAGTTCTCTCTCCGGCGTTCACACCAACAACAGGGTTACGTTGGTAGTTGGCAAAGTATTTATAGTACTGACTGCGATAAATCGAATATCAAAAAAGTCATGTCAGTTGACTTTTTAAAGGAGTGAAGTGCTAGTAAACATATGCGTTGTGAAATGTTGGTGACACCCGTTCCAAAAATGCAATAACAGCAATAACAACAGACAGCAATACCAAGCAGCAGCAGCAGCAGCGCGAACAGCAACAGTAAAAGAAATAATAACAACAGCAACAACAACAACAACAACAACAACAACAACAGGAACAACAAAAACAAAAACAAAACAAAAACAAAAACAAAAGCATGGACAAGAACAACAACAGGAACAACAACTAAGAGGACAACAAGAATTACTACAACTGCAACAAAAACAAGGAGAGGCTGCGTGGCCGAGTTGTTAGGGCGCCGGACTTGAAATCCGAGGGTCGCGGGTTCAAGTTCCGTTCTGACCATCAGTTAGGATTTTTAAGCCTATTACGTTTATCTGAACGAGCACTCTAAACATTCAACATTTAACATTTAAAAACAAAAGGAACAACAACAATGAGAATAGCAACATCAACTACAACGGGGAAAACAACAAGAGTAATTATAACAACAATAACAGAAGTAGCAATAACAACAGCGGCAACAACAACAGCACGTACAGCAGGAAGAACAGAACATTAACAACAAAAATAAAAGCAGCAGGAGGCACAAAAACGGTACGATAGTGTTTTGTCGACAAAGGGTGATTACTTACGTAGCAGTTGGGGCAGAATATTGGATTCCTCCATGAGGGTAGTTATAGATGACGAACGAGAATATTGCGTCAGTGACAACAACTGCTTGAAATGTGTTGTGCTGAAAAGAGACAATCCCAAGACATTATTTTTCTGTGTATCCACGAAATCGAGTGAGAAACTACTCGCATTCATAAAAAATGAAAAGAAGGGCTCCAAAGATGCAATTATTATTATTATTATTATTTTTAATTTTTTTTATTTTTATCAATAAGCCCCATTCCCACTCGCATCCAGATTGCGAGCCATGCGACTATTTTGGCACAATTCACTGGCTACACTTAACGACCTGTCTAGCCAAATATCAAAAAAGCGTGAAGTTGAGACCATTTGCAAAGATTGACCAGCTTCTACTGCCGTGAATCGATCGTTTGTCGCTCAGAAAAAACTCTCGAGGCATCAAAATCTTCTAGGACTTACAACAACAAAGGATTCATCATGAGCTTGTAATGTGCACGTTCGTATTACATGGTGGTGCGTTTTCCACTCAATATTCTCATAACTCTGGGTAACGTTACCAACTTCATTCATTCAAACAATACCCTATGGTATCTTAAAAATATCGAGGGGCTTCAGCGATGGAGCACAGTAACATTTTAAACATTCCCAGGATTAAAACATTGTAAATTAAACTAAAACATTTCCGACTGCCTAAACAACAGTCTTCAACGAGTAAAATGTACCTCTTCCATCTTTTCAATCTCTGTAGTTCAGGTAGTGGGAAGCTTGCGTTTTAAGATATTTTAAGCCAGGGAAAGTTTTACGTTTTACAAAGGTTATTCTGTATATCTATGTCCATGTATACTGAAAATCAAATCTCACCAGATTCCTGGTGATATCATTTTGTAGCTGGTGACGAATATCCTGCCAAGTAACAACAAGAACCCACGATGCAAAGAACGTTTTTCCCTGTGGTAGGTCAGAGGAGAAAACGGTCAAGACGTCATCTGTTGCCTTCTGCAATATTGCAGAGGAATCTGGCCCCTGGTATACATGATAAAACACTTTGGAAGGTCCATCAATGAACGAACCAAGGTCGGTGGGTGCCCAGTAGGGAGCGAGCATCGGTGTGTATCTGAGCCACGGCCTCTCACCGAAGCGGTATGGTCCTTGGTTGATACCGTCTCTCTCAAACTGGATCGTACCAGGGGGGCATATCTGATGGGATAATGAACATACCATTATTAATTCTACGATAGCGGCCGAAGGCGCACGAGCGGAGCCCCATACCTTAGAAAATTTGGTAACCCATCGATCTAAAAAAATTTGGTTGTCACGTGACTCTCCGTATACGTCCGTATGCCATGCCCTATACCTTGAAAAATAAGAGAGTAGCACCATTACCATAAGTACCTCTTTGATATTGGACATCCAAGTTATGAAAAATTGACAGCTGTCAAAACAAGGTATCTGCTGACCAGTACCGCGTGACCATATCGCGGGCTAAGGTTAAGAGCTCATCGAGCTCGAGTGTTTTTGTAATTGACCGCTGACCAGGCACTGTTTTTTTTTT